GAGGTGAGGGAGGAGGAGAAGGGGATTTTTAAAGGAAGATCATTGCTAGGTAATTCTGCAGATAACGCGCCCTCCGCGTTGTCCTGCCGGTCCCAGGTGAGGACACCCTCCTCTGCACCAGCGAGTTGGTGGTCATGTGCTGCGCGTCCCAGCAGCACAGACTGGGTGCACTTGTCATGTGAGTAGAGGCTGGGAGGGAGCTGTGGATGTGGGAGGGAGGGCAATATTTCTGAGATGTCTAATTTTTTGCAAGTGTCTCTGGTTCTTCTGGCTGTCATCTTCCATTTAGAAGGGGTGTGGGGGGGGAAGAAAAATAGCCACATTTAGCTTGGGACAACCACTTTGTTCTAGAAGGGTGGGTGATTTAACATATATTGCAAACAAACAAAAGGGAGACATTCCAGAATTTCCATTTGGTATCGTGTATACGTTCGAGCTTGTTCTTCCTCTTCAGTGTTTGTGTATCATTTATTCAGAAATATTTTGCAAGTGGATAGCGGTTTGCAAGCGAAAGCATTTGCCAGCTGAACTGCAGTATCTGCTGCGGCGAATGTCTTTTCGTGTTCATGTTCTCCCTCTCCACAGAAGGAAAAAAAAAAAAGAAAAAAGGCTAAACTAACCTACCACACAGCAATCTGATGCAAGGATAACAGGCAAAATAATGCTGAACTGCTCTAATGCCTTCTCTTGTCCCAGAAGGAAGAGCGTGTTGTTTCAGGATCTGTTAGAGTGAAGAACTGAAAATGAGTTTTGTAAATAAATCTGTATCCTCAGCTCTGAGAAATGCTGATGTCCGGGTTCGTGGTGGGCTTCTCTGGGAAAAACTGTTGTTCAAGTAAATAAAGTAGTCTTGTGTTCCAATGGTGATGGAATGGAAAAACTTACTTTTTTTAAGAATAGAAGGGTGGCAACTGATACAAAACTATCAGTTATTTCAGTTCAAGTTTCCTATTAATTCTGGAATAGATCTGCCAATTCCTACACTTTCAGTTTTTCCATCTGAGATGTAGGTTCTGGCCCACGCAAGTTATATCTGGCAAAGCTGAAATCAGGAGCTCTGGCAGCTGCGGAGTCCTTTATGGGAAATGAGAGTTCTGTTTGGGAAGTGCTTTGCACTCGGTCTCCGCTCCCCAAAACGAGAGGAGGTTACCTAGGAACCTGGTGGGTAGGAGGGCAGAACCTTGCTTGAAATACAGCTCTGTCGGGGGCAAACAACAGAATCTTGCGTGCGCACACACGTACGCTCATACGCACAAAAATCAATTACGTGGTGGCAAATAGGATTTCCTTAACTTGGTGCTTTTCTGCTCTGTTGCAGCCGTGATAACGACCTTTCCACTATCATCTCCAACCTGCATCAGAGCCGTCAACTCGTTATGCCAGAGACCCAGAGCCGCTGTGAATTCAAGAGAAACAGCATCGACGTCGGCTTAGGAGCAGCAGGTAAGCAGCCGGAGCGGGTCCTGGGGCTCTGGGTTCGTTGACTTGCCTCCTCTCTCTCTCAACTCCCTCATTTGTTCATTTTTTTCAGCAGCTGTATTTTCTGTGGCTGTTTGCGTTACACTTTGGAATGAGTTATATGAAAGCTTTTAATATCCTGGCTAAAGATGAACATGGAAAGGATTTCGTGGTGATGTTAAAGTCCTTTTGAGATCTCAGCCCTGTGTTATTCTCAAATCTAGTGGTCTGTGTTAAACTACTGGCAAAGGAGCTTGCGCCAGCAAAGAAGTGAAATGTCCCCAGGGTTAGCGTCAAGTGAAGCAGAAAGGCCTTGCAGAGAGCTTGGTTTGATTTGTAATTTCATTAATCAGAGGTTCCCCGTGCTGCCTCTGCGCCTGCCAACTCCTTTGTGAGCGTGATTGTTTGGGTTTGTAGTGCTACCCGGCTTTTTTGGGGAGTTCACCTGGTTTCAGCTGAACATGGTGAAACCAGAAATGCTCCTCTTGGATCCTGCTCCGTGCGTCTCTGGCTGTCAGTAAGGGAGCTATGGGCAAGGGTGCTTTGGTGGTAGATGCGCATCAGTCAGCAGGCGAGGCACTGGTAATAGATTAGAGATTTGCTTGTTGTTTGTGGAATCTATGATTGGCCTTTGATTATAAAGAAAAGTTGAGCAAAAACTGGGAGTTATGCTAGTTTGTATACTGAGCGATCCCTGTCCTTCCAAATCAGAATTGGATCTCTCAGAGTATGTTAATGCAGGCCTTTCCTGCAACTCTGTAGGTTGGTGGTTTTGTTCATATTTTCTTGTAAGTCTTTCTATTGACTGTGTAACTGAACCCTGGATCTGAAGGAAACACCACATCCAGTACGCTTTGGGAATGTCTTTGGAGGATGTTCAGTAACATGGCGAGTGCCTGGTTTGCCTTTTGCGTGAGGCTTGACCCCTTTCCAGAAAGGTTCCTCCTGCCTGCAGTGAAATTTGTACCGGTGTACTGCTTTTGCAGTGAAGTGTTCCATCCTGTGTATGTGTTGTGCTGAACTGGGGGATTTGTGCTGTGTCTGTAAAGCAGCCATGGGCAGCTCCCAGTCTGTGCTTTCACAGCTGAATCTCCGTATTTTCTTCATTAACCAGTCTCCACAGCCGCTTGTCCTACACAGCTCTAAGAGCCAAACTGGGCAGAGAGGTGGATACAGTTTTCTGTATGACCTTGCTGGAGTCTATATGTCTCAGCTGACTCCGTATGTTAAAATGGTTTTTAATATTGTTTGCTTTACAGAGAAACTGCTGGGCTTGATCAGCATTGCTGAAATTCTTTGAGAACCATAGCATTCCAGAGGTGCAAAGGGTACTTCTGATTTCCATCGGTGTTAAGCAGGAGAAAAGATTAGGTGTAGAAGTCCTAATTCTTATTTGTTAGAATTTCTGTTTGAGCTTCTCTGGTTGGCTTAACCATAAGAAACAGTAAGAAATATAAAACATAGGCACCGCATACATGTAGCAGTGCTTGACCTCGATGAAAGTCTGAGCAATGAAAGAGAAGAGGGCTCATTCACACGAGAGGCCACCAAGCAAGTGGCAGAGCTGTTGAGGACATAATAGATTTGGTGTGTCTAACGAGAGTTGACCAGCAAAAGAATAGGTGGGGGGGATGGTGGGAGATTAGGTATCTAAAGGGAGAAAGGTCGTTGTCACAACTACCCAGGGATGGTTTAACTCTGGTTTTTCCCCGCTGTCCAAAGCCAGCTCACTCTACGTGCTTGTTTGATTAAGGGAAGACTAATTTGCCAAAGTCTACGCAGAACCTGCCAGCTCTGACTTTAAAGCATGTGTTGGGCTGGTACCTATGTCACCACCTTCCGGACATGGAAGTCAAGGGAACAGAAGGAAAATGTGCTGGGATTTGTAGCTGATGCCGATTATGGGCTTTATGTCTTGGTTCTGTTTGTTTTTACTGGTAGGGGTGGAGGGGGAGAATGGTATAGCTGATTCCTACACGTAGAATTTTAAGAGAGTTAGTGTTGGGTTAGCCTCAGAGACTGGCTGTTGTTTAAACCACTTAGTTACAGCAAGAAGGGAAAAAGCAATGTGCCCCCAGCTGTCTGCTGTTTGCACTGTCTGCCTTTGAGAACAGTACTGTGTGCTTGGGTTACGAGAATCTCGCCCGCAAAAAGGCGTGTGGAGGTGGACAGTGCTGAGTAAGAGATGTTCATGCCAACATGTTCAAAAACTCCCGTGTCACTCAGGACTGTCGGCTGCGGTGCTCTCAGGGTAAGCTGGAGTCTGCTGCTGAAATGTTTGCTGTTGCTGGTGTAGCGTGTGTGGTTTGCAGCGAGGCATGCAGTCGCCGACGGCAGAGGCTGAGCCCTCCGGAGGCTGCTCTGCAGCTCCAGCTGCAAATTCAGCGCGGGCAGGAGGAGGGGTGAGGGCACACTGCTAAAACAGGGTTCAGAAGCGTGTGTGGTTTCTTGGCTATGGCTGAGGCTAAGTAGAGGATTGAGAAGAAAGATAACACGAATGGAAGAGATTTGATTATTGCGGGGCCCGTGGGGTTAAGAAGAGGGTTGAAGTTGGCAGGGTTGGTTGGTTTATGGTGAATTCTGTGAGGGAATTACTTGATTTGTAGTTAAACCAGGATTAGAGGCGGTACTATAGTTTTGAACAGCATGGACTGGAAAATCAGAAGTATTACTAGATCTTTAACGGTCTTTGAAATGCAGAAAGGGGCGGAAACTAATGGAAACTAATGGCTTATGGTTAGTTCTGGGGCTTTTGTGAGTTCTGGGAGATGGGTGAGACTAGGGTCAGGGCTCAAGCTAGATTTTCAGTCAAAAGGGGCTGAAGAGACTAAGGTATTGCTGGAACACATAAAACCTTTGGTTGGAAGAGCAGCACTGATATTAATAACCTTGGAAGGCTTATGGATAATTTTGAAGTGAAAACAGGTCACTTTATGTCAATGGTGATGGTTATGTTTGGGAACAGAGAAACTGAAGAGCTTAGTTTGGGACAGTGGAAGCTGGAAGACGTAGAAAATAGCTGGGTCTGCAAAGACTCGGACAGGATTTGGCCCTGACTAGAAAAGGATTTAATAACCCGTCTCAGTGGGTGTAATAACCCACAGTGGTGGGCACTGACCATTTGGAACAATAAGCCTAGAGGAGGTGCAGTCTTAGGGCTTGGGATAGCTGGCACACAAGAATTCAATCTATTTTGGATCTTGTGAGGCCCAAAGAGCTATGACGAGTCTGGATTCATCAAAAAGAAATGGCTGTGCTATCCGTTGCGTCACTTCGGTGTGATTAAGACTGGGGTAGTGATCGTGACGTGTTGGGAAGTTCAGCGTCTACAGAAATCTGGGCTAGGAAATCTGAGAGCTACAGTGCTTTGGAAATACACTTGTCATAAAAAAATGAAAGACTGTTACTGCTAGGCTACAGTGATAAAGGGCAAAGGGTGGTGGTTATGTGTCCAGCAAGTAAAGTTTCATCAGCAATGCTGGACGAGATGCATAATGCCTCGCACCGGTTTTCGAGTACGTTGCAGAGGTGCGGGAGTCAACGAGGGCACAGAAAGGCAAATTTTCCCAAGATGATCAAATGATGCCTGAGCAGCAGAGCTCAGCGTCTTGTCTTGTCCCCCCTCACTTCTCTGCTGGACCTCTGTGGTGGTGTTGCGCTGTGACAGTATGGCATAGACGTGGATTATAGCCTACTTCTAGAGGTTCAGCACAGGAGAGATTTGGGGGTGGTGTTCCCCCTGCTAGTGTGTGTACTGAAGCGAGATGTCTGGATAAGAATAGCCGACAGCTTAACTCACGTTTGAACTGTCCCCTGATACCGGGCCTTTAAAGGAAATAACACATACCAACAGCAAAAATCTACCCAAAAAAGTGAAAACCTGCTCCAGCCAGTGCTTCTCAGTAAGGCACCTGGAGACCCGGAGCTGGCGGGGGTAACTGAGGCTTTTGCAACGACAGCAGAAGTGAGGGGCCGAGAGACGTGTGCTGATAAAATCTAATTGCCCTATCGATTGGCTTCGGAGCCACCGTCAGCTGTGGCAATGATTGAGATATTCCTATGTGTGTGGTGCACGTTCGCTGCGTCTCGCCGCTCGGGGCCCACTGGGGACCTTAAGGTATTACAGCGATCGCTTAATCACGGAGGAAGCTTGCGTGCGTTGGGCTGGCTCCTGCAGCACTGCAGATTTATGACAATGACCACTGATGCACTTGGATTTCCTCAGGTCCCAGGGGGTGCTGGGTTTCGGGAAGAGCTGCCTGGTTTGTAACTCTGAATTCTGAACTGGCTGAGGAAATCCAGCTCACTGGGTTAGGATTTTACGCACCCGCGCCCTTTCGCACTGTTCTTCCTTCCTTCTCATCCAGGTTGACAGGATCATGTCCTCAGACTTTCAAGAATAGGAAGCTTCTGCCACCCCTGCTTTCACTGTCTGTCTCTGCGACTGGTTGTGGAGATGCTTGTGCTTGCGAAACAGAGAGCACTGTTTTCTGTGGTCCCCGGATAAATGTCCATTCACCAAATGGTTGTGCAAATTTTGAGTGTGCAGGTGTGCGCTGTTTCCAACACAGATTGAAAGAGCAGTAGATTCTTGTGGAGGAGCAGAGGATGTAGAGTGAAGGAAGGGTGCTTGCCTCTCTGCCAGCTCTGTTTATTGATTAGAATGATATCGAGCTCCTGTTTTGAAATCTGAGTTCTCTCTACACTGGGTTTATATCCAGCTGCTGGGTGTAATCTCCTCCTACTTCTCTGGCCAGTGTTGGACCTTTTTTTTTTTTTCAAATTTTTGTATATTTTTTTAAACCTGGAGCTAGCTAATCCAGCTGCTGAGAGGTAAGGTTGGCTTTTGTCCAGAGAGATACACGCTTTGCAGAGAAGAGAGGTAAGCCACTTCACCCAAGTGCTGACAGTCTGCAGGACTGCTACCTGGAAAAATAAGCTTTGGTGATGCCCAGAGCTCCCAGGCCACTTCACCTAGGAAAGGT